CGTGTCCCATGGCTCAGAGCGTGATCCGTGGTTAGCGGATCCTGAGCTGGGTGGGTTTTCTGTCGGCGATTATATTGTATTATATGTGTTTATTCGCCAACATTACGTATTAATCTGTAAAGTGTGTGTGTTTGCTTCAGTTTTCTATGCATTTTTCTTTTACTAGTGTTTTTTACTGCATTGCAGTTGATTAATTCATATTGGAGTTTTGAGGATGTTTAACTGCGGTTGGTTTGGTGTTTTATCGCGTCTATTTAGTTACGATTTTTGGGTAAATAGTATCGTGATGTATTTTCACCTTCGTTTGGTGCGTTGTTGAGTATTTTTAGTTGATGTTGGTTATATGTCTTGTGTTTGTAATTGGTTTCTTGGAGTTTTTTTTTTCTTTTTGTTAGTATGTTTATTTGTTTATTTTGTATTGTTTGGTTTGTGTGGTTTTGAATTTGGGAGGTAGAGGCCACTTGGCACAGAGACTTCATTGGGTAGTATTATGGTTTGTTTGTTTGCGGTGCGGACGGCCGAGGGTTCGGGGCTTGTGAGTGGCCACGGGGCCGGGAGGGGGGGCAGCACCAGCGCGAGCTAGCGCACGGGGGCTCGGCTGTTGGTGGATCCGTTGTAACTTGTGTGTGTGCAGATACATTGCGGAGTACAGGAGATCATAGAGCGAAAAAGAGTAGAGAACATTAAGCTTTGTAATTTCGTGTTGATGTACCATTATTTTTTTTTATTGAGACGTTCCAAGTCCTGTCTTCGAACGCGCGTTGACTCCAAGCGGCGAGTCCAAGTTGCATAATGCATTGGAATCAGCCTGTATAGCAACACACATACACACACGCCGCCGCACATACGCACGCGGGCAGCCACGCCGCCGGCACGCTTCCGAATATATATATATATATATACGTATATAATTATATATATATATGTGTGTGTGTATGTGTGTGTGTGTGTATGCGTGCGTGCGTGCGTGCGTGCGTGCGTGCGTGTAATGAATAAACGATAACGAGGTAAAGAGGCTACGCGTATACGTCAACACGTAGTGATTCAATCAGATCACAAGAACCTTACAGTAAACGGGAGGGTATAATTGAGAAACAGCTTTGGTGACAGCATTCACATGTACATGAGCGTAGCTAGAAAGTTTTGCCTGGGTTGGCAAATTCGCATGTGGTTTGTTTCCTGAACAATTGGGAGCGACCGTGGCAGTTCGCTATTGACTATGTAATAGTATCTCTATTGGTCTGTGTTTGTGTGTGGCGGGGGGGGGGGTGCAACCTTCTCTCCCCGCTAGCTAGGGCTTTGGTGTACGTTTATTTACGGCCTATATACGGCAGCGATGTACGAGGCTACGTCAAGAAGTGGGGATTCAATGTGATCACGAGGTGGAGCGCTGGTTTCAATAGCCTCACGGTCACGCAACATGCCGGTATATACGTCGTCGTGATGGGAGAGCTTGACACACAGCGGCCGGCAGTGAGGTAAGTATGGTTCATACCGCGTATACTAAGCGTTAGTATTGATATTGTGCGTGTAAGTTCACACATAGTCGTTTGTTCTCACTAATGTCATACATCAAATGCTCCGTATGAATGACGCACGTGTATATGTGACAGTGGACAGGGTACATATGACACGGTTTTTGTGTTTTATTTCTTGTAGATCGTGTGGATTGATACAGTACTGCGGTTAGCGGTGATAATGTCATCTGCGGTTACCTGGTCTATCGTGTGTTGCCTGTTGGTTACGCACGTCGTCCTCACCGCTGGACATTGTAATGGCCATGACGATGATGATCATGACGATGATCATCATGATCATCATGATCATCCAACCTGCGTGTGCAACGTCACTGTAGTAGAGACGCCATGTGATCATTCGTGGGCAAACCACCTGTTTCGTCCACCTATAGGTTAGTATATCGATATACACATACATATTACCAGGAGCGTATAATGACAAAATTTGGCGTATTTGTCATTATGGCGTATTTGTCATTATACGCTCCTGATATTACGATATGGGCGAGGCGAAGTAGTATTCTAATGCAGAGTTACATTATAAGGATGACAGACTTAATACTATTCTTAATTTTTACCATTCTTCTTTGTGCTGTCAGATTTTGGACCTGAATGGGAACTAGTGTTCAAGGCTACTGCGGGCGTTCCCATGAATCTGCATACACTGTGGATGTCGGACAGCGTACTGCACGTAGATGTATCAGAGGCAATGATTCCCACTTCTCACTACCGTATCAACTACAAGTCACACATGGCAAACGACTGGACAAATATAGAGGAGGTGGGTTGTCCAACTTAGTCACTGCATTTTTATGGATGTTTTTTTTTCGATGGAATTTTTCGTGTTATATCTCTCATATATATATATCTATATATCTATATATATATATATGATATATATAGAGATATATATATATATATAATATACAGAGATAGTGATAATTATATATATTTCTTTAGGTAAAACTGGTCTTCCTCAAGAACGATGAAGTGGTGGTGTTCGTAAACTTCAACGGCTGGTGCTATGACAGAGTAGATTGGTTTTCAGAAGGAAACATGATCGACTCTTCATTCTCGGACCTACCAGGCTCTACTTCAATCACCAGTATAGCAGGGTATGTATTTTTGAACATTGGATAATTCGCCATGTGGCTATTTCGATCATTCCAGCTGCTATGCTAACGTTTCATCTTTTTCCATTTTGGTAAGACAACGAGCCAAAATATCGCGTTTGGTTATCGAGGGATTGCTGTAAGGGTGGGGTTGCTATTTTCTACAGGGACTCTGCTTCTAACATGCAGAGACGGTTTTTCATTCATGAAAATTACTACGGCTGCAATAATGACCCTGGATGGATAGTAGTATTGGACAAGATGAGCCCACAGGACGACGACCCATGTGACTGGGGAATTATGCGTCCGTCCGAGAGACCCATGTTCCTGTATTGTCCCGACGGGCAATCGTGTTTAGCAACGAGTAAGTTTGACATACTTTTGCTCTGATTCTTCATTGTTTTTATCCCATATTGCTGATTATAATTATTCATGCGTTCTGTGGTTGCAGCATATACTTCTGCCGACACAGTGCTACTCTTTGTACGGCATGGAATTGGCGCCTCATAATCAATGCAACCACACCAGGAATGTCATGGGTTGCGTTTTTCCATCGTTACAGCGTATACGTCCGCTGATACAATGCTCATCCTTGTACGGCATGGTCTTGGATCCGGACCCTGTCCTGTCTGAGAGCTGTTCCGTCAATGCAGTATATTCTACTACTGAGCGTCACCGCCACGACCATGATTACCATTTTTCACTACAAATACGTCTGCCAAAACCGGCACAAAGTAGTATTGGTGTTAGGCTAATCATCTTAAGGAACGATAGTGGTTTAGTTTTACAAATGTCTGTGCTTAAATGATCCACGGTGTGTGGACCTTGATTGGATCTGAGACAAGGGTCAATTTTTATTTTTTAATATCTTCATGTAATCACGTAACACCTTCAATAATGAATGTGACTTAATTAAAGAAGAATTACGTTATATATTCAAGTCATTATTATTTCTTATTACATCTTGATTGACAACATATTAGCAGAACATGTTATTATGATAATAATAAATATGGTACTATAAAAAACTGTTGCACTTATTTTGTTTGTTGGTATTGTTATCGCCTATAATAAGAAAGCTATCCTGGGAAGCTTCCTTCACAATTCCTTATGGTACAGAAATAAAAAAAAATTACTTTGTATATATTATCACTATATTTAACAATATCAGTAGTGCAGATGGCAATACCACTGCCGATAAAAATTAACCTATAATAAATAACATTTCTATCACGCTCCTACAAGCCCAGTTCCATCTTCACAAATGCCTTCAGGTTTGCGTCGGTCATGTTGTCAACCGCTGCCCTCGTGTGCACTCCACCGTCATTGTAAAATTTGACGAGTTCTGCAGCATATTCGACCCGCACACAGTTTGGGCATCCACTCATGCAGCAGGTGGTGGGTGGCAGGGGTGGCTCAGTACCAAGTGTGCCTATATCTGGAAGGCTCAGCTCATTTGTGTCTGAGACTGACGTACTGCCAGCTCCAAACCCATGGCTGCTGTCTGATTTTGCAGGTGCGGCGAGGTTGTCGTTGGCATGACTAGCAGTGGTATCAGCACCTTCTGAACCTTCTTCCTCGAGTTTAGTGACGTGGTGGCTCTGGATGTTTGTATCGCCAAGTCCCGGCTCATGCCGGCGGGTTTCATGCGAAATTATGGTCCCGGTTAGTCCGCCGGCACCACTGTCTTTTCTCTCGGGTTTGTCTGTAGAGCTACGCCCACGAGTCGGGTACATGGAGAGGGGCTCAGGCAGGTTACATGCTCTCCTTGTAATGTAGTTCTCAACAAGCTCTCGTCCATCTCTCTGAAGAGCGTGCATCATTGCGTGAAATCAGGTTGTTCAGACAGTGCCAGACAGTGATTGCAGCCTCGACGAAGCCGCGCCCCCACAGCGAATATGCCGCCCCCTTATTGTCCACTTAGACAGATAACTTAGACAGGGCTCTGAAAACGAACTCCGCGAAAACGGGGCGTTGGGGTTGGGGTTCCATGTTGTTTTTTAGCATAGCAACTAATCATGATTAGTGGATTTAATCATGCTCCTGAGTAGAATTAAATATTGTGATTAACTTAATCATGATTAACTTTAATTACGCTTCATGAAACAGTCACTTCAACTTAAGTACGAGATGTTAATCATGATTAGTGATTTAATCATGATTAAATACTTAAGTACGCTTCATGAAACCGGCCCCAGGAGGTTAAGTATGATTAGTGATTTAATCATAATTAAAGTTAATCACGCTTCGTGAAACCGGCCCCTGACCTTTACAGCGATTGTCCTGTAATAGCTACGGGACCATTCGTCTACTATTACTACGAGGTTGTTATTATTGTGATTGTCCCGTTGATTGGCTACCGGATCCTTACCTGTTTTCTCCCGGCGTGACCTTGTTCTGTGGCAGCAGCAGCATCACGTCGCTGCCGAAGCCGTCACCCTCCGGGAAGCCAGCATCGAGCGCCGCCAGCCTCGCCTCCGCCGCCGCGATGCTCCACTGCTCCAGCGAAAACTCCTGTAGCGTGTCCAGCGTGCCGCGGTCAATGTAGACACCCGTACCACTGCCATGAATGAATAAATACATAAAATAAATACAAAAAATAAAATGAATGCAATGCTGTCCCAGGCCAACACGAGGCATTGGACTCAGCTAGTGCTAGTGTCAGACTCTAGCCTACACAGAGAAACTATTCGTTGTCGAACTAACACGTGAACGTCTGTTTCATGCTAGCACGAACATGCAGTTAGCAACTAGGTGCCACTAGGCGACAGTCTAGGTTGAAAATACTTTGAACGTAATTCATATGGCTCCCTGTATGTCAAACGTGAGTGGGTGTGTCTCTCACGAGACGATTCGCGTTGCCTACCTGCCAGGAATCGTGAAGTTGCCTCCATTCCAGCCGATCTTGTTACTGCTCATCTGCTGGTCCCTGACGACGAGCTTCCCTTTCTGACTCCTAGCGAAACAGACGCGCGACTCGAGTTAGCACCTTCCAGCCGAAACCATCAGATTCTGGCTGACACACGAAGCCATCGTCCGACTGTCGACGGAGATCTCAACAGATATCATTTCTGTCTAGGCTCATACTCTGTCGTTTCTTTTTAGCACAGAGTTTGAACGTAAAATGCTATTCACTGTGCTATCGTTCAAACACGAACGAAGATCGATACGATGTGAAACAGCTAACACTATTACGACGGCACCGGTCACACGATGCGCTCTCACCTGTTTGAGAAGTTATTGTTGCGTGTGCTCATGTAATGAAAGACTCCCGTCTCGGTGACCTTGCGCGGTCCAAGGTCAAAGTACGTGCCCGCGTCGTCTAGCTCAGACATTTCGCCACCGTACTGATCTGTGGAGACAACAAGGAGGAGAATTATGGGGTTTTCAGAAATGCCAACACATTTTTGAAGCAATCTGTAGTTTCTGGCCATCAAATTAGTAGTTAGAGGGTCACGTAGTGACCCGAGTTTGCTAGGGGGGTCCGGCATGCCCCCCGGAAAAAATTTTGATTTTGAGATGCAATTTCCTGCATTCTGAGGGTCAAAAATGACAATAATTAACAAAAAAAATTTTGGATCACAGTGAAATTCGTAGTTTGATACAAACTGGTCATAGTGGTGCAAAAGGAATAGAAATTCGTATAAAATACGGATAAATCGTAGTGGTTGGCATCTCTGGGTTTTACGCGTGCTCATACATGGTCGTACAGTACGTCAAGAAACGGTTCATGTTGAATTCTCCCAGAGCATATTTGTAGCGTACACAGGTGTAATTAAAGATATTATTACCCATACTAGTACTGTAGAGATTAGGCGAGATTGGATAGTTGTAACAAGTAGAGGTTGCTCTATCATAAAAAGCCATACAATCAGAGGGGGCTCGCAGGTGAAATGGAGAGATAAAGACCCCAAATAGAAGGCATTCTCAGATGTAATGAGGATAGAGCATGCAACAGAGAGATGACACTCTCAAGGAAAACACGGCTGGAGATCACAAATAGAGGGCGCTGCGTGTCTCACGTGTGTCTAGTATTGCGAGCGTCGTCAGGTCCTCCCTCGTGAGCCCCAGCAGAGTCACGTTGCCGAGGCGACGCGGGTAGCTGCGCCCCCAGTGTCCGTACTCGGGGAATCCCTTGTAGGGGGCGCCGCTTCCCTCGACGTAGGCCCGCGTCTCCTGCAGCACTACGTTGGAGCGGTCGGAGCCGGCGCGACCCTGCCCGTCGTTGTTGTCCGGGTTCGTGTTCGAGCCGGTCCACCTACGACGCGGGGAAGGAGAAAGGAAGGTCGTTAGAATTGCGGCAGCGCTGGGGAGCATCCTGATGCAGGGTGCATTGGACGTCGTTTCACCCAGCCACGGTTCACTCAGCTGCGAGATTTTTTGGCACCTAATCGTGGCCCGATGTTCATGCAGGGTAGCTGGTAGGGATGCACATGTAGGTATATTTACTGGTAGTGAGCATGGGGATGCAGGGTAGGTATATTTACTGGTAGTGAGCATGGAGATGCAGGGTAGGTATACTTACTGGTAGTGAGCATGGGGATGCAGGGTAGGTATACTTACTGGTAGTGAGCATGGAGATGCAGGGTAGGTATTTTTACTGGTAGTGAGCATGTCTCCATCCTCCATCCCTCCTCCCCATTCCTCATCCACTCCTTCCTCCATCCCTCCTCCCCATCCCTCATCCACCTCTCCTCCACTCCATCCTCCACCCCTCCTCCCCTTAATCCTTCTCCATAACGCGAAGGGCTAGTCAGCATGTGAGCTTACTCACGCTTAACCTAGCCGACGCCTGGCTGGCGATCAGTGCTTGCTGCTGCACTCTCATTCTGTGTGCTTGGCCAGACGCTATTATCCCCCGAAGATTAGCTAAAATCCCGAATAGCGGACGCTCGACAAATGCGCTTTCCCTTGCCGGAAATCCTGACCTTTTTCAAGGGTGCTGGGATGACAGACAGAACGAGATTTAAGTGGCGCTCCTCTAATCCTGGGAAAGATGGCCGGTCGCTGTCATGGTGGGTGTAGTGGCGGTGGCAGATGGCAGGGAGTGGATACTATCTGCAAGGTAAGGCAGTCACGATATCGCCATGGCAACAAAGCTATAGCAACAACGCCCGGGAAGCGGGGCTCCTGGCAGCGCCGTCTCGCCATCATGGCTTCCATTCCTTTCCTCTCCTTCCTCTCCGGTTACTTGTTAGCCGCTTACGGCTTTAACAGGAAGACCCCCCTCCTCCCCTCGCATGTGACCCGTAAGAAGAAGCAACAGCCACCGACGGGCGAAGGTCCGTGCTTCTACTTCTACTCCTGACCAGCGAAGAGCCGAAGAGAATCTGTGCTTCGCTAGAAGAGGCTGGAGCGGCAGCCGCAACAATTATTCTTTCAGATGAATCTCTAATCCATTGTATCAAGAGCTAATAATTATATTCATGAGCTATAATTAGCTCTTGATTGTATCCTCATCACGGGCTATAGGAAGCCACTACACACCGCGAGTGAATCATCTAATCCACGCATATAATCTCAAACAGTAAACCGAAACCTGATAATGGCTTCATCCACGTAATCACCGACCTTGCCATCCAATGTCTCGTACAGATTAGCGCAAAGTAGGCGAAGGTGGAGGAGAAGGATGAGGAGGCAAAAGCAGGAAATGATGGGGGGAGGTGTGGGGGGAATGTGATAAATTGAAATTGAAGCCATGTCAAGATGCAAGCCAGCTAAACCAACGTGTCGTTTAGCCTCCCAAAAACAACATAATTGCTGCTTGGTCGGATCGTGTATAGGGGGAAACGAAGCCATATTGCTATATTGACACAAGAAAAGCCAAAAAAACAGATAAAAGGCAAAAAAGACCATTACAAAAACCCCCCAAATGCACAGTCTACGTCAGACAATCGAGAGGCAAGCACAAAAGTCAATCTGTTGCGACAGATTTAGAGAGACGAGGAGGAAGAGAGAGAGGGGGGAGGAAGAGAGAGAGGGGGGAGGGAGAGAGGGAGAGAGAGGGAGAAAGAGGGAGAGAAAGGGAGAGAGAGAGTCCCACCCATCCCCCACATGATTTTCCAACCTCTGACCCCCCACATGTGACTTTCTGAACCTCCGCCCGCCCCCGCTAAAGCGTCAGGCGCGTCGGCTTGCCTCGTCAAGCATGCTCACCTGTCTTGGATGCTCACCTGTCTTGGAAGGTTCGTCCGAACTGCGCGGTGTTTATGGCGAGGCGAAGGTCGAGGTTGTATCCGGGGAATATCTCGACGACGGGATTGTTCTTCATGAGGTAGCCACGATCCGCCGCCTCGCTACAGTTCTCAAAGCCGAAGCGCGAGTGAACGTCCACCGACTGTAGATACACACATGAACATAGAAAATATAATAATTAATCAAGAAATGCAACTACCAACTGCATGTCCATCGACTGCACACACTCACACACACTCACGCGTACATGGAGAATATATGATGGACACGCCAATACTGACTGGACATGGAGAGAAAATGTTATCCACCATGAAACACACAGAGAACATATCATGAAACACAACTAGTGACTGGACACGTAAAGAGAAAATGTTATCCACCATGAAACAAAACAAAAACCAACTGGATACGCACGGCGAACTTGCCATAAAACGCAAGTACCGACTCGACAAACGGGGAGAAATCGCCACGAAACAACGCAATCGCCGAGAGAAACCACGATTCAGCTCGAACACTGCCAGGCTCCAGCAGCAGATCTACAGCCTACCTCCGTCATGCACAGGTAACACCGAGCATCAGAACACAGGCTAACGAGCCGTGCGTACCTGACAGGTAACATCAAGCATCCGAACACACAGGTTAACGAGCCGTGCGTACCTGACAGGTGGTCGTCCTGAACTGATTGCCGTTAACGCGAGCCTTCTTCGTTAGCGTGTTCATGCTCGCATTCGTGTTCCACGAGTCGTAGTCGCCCGTCGAGATGTTATACCTGCATGCGAACACGCGATCGTTATCATACAGGTGTAGCATGTACAACACTGAGAGCCTCACTAATGCAGTAGTTAGCGATGTCACTACACAGTGCACACGCCGCACACGAGGTTGTCAAACACTCAACCGACATCCAGATCAGCAGTGCTGCCTAACCTAGATCTATTGACTAGCACTCTATGCCAGCTAACCTAGATCTGTAGGCTAGCTTTCCATTGGCTAGCTCTATATACGCTAGCTAACTCTTTTCGTTTAACAGCATAGTTAGCTCTATGGGCTATCTCTACAATATGCTTGCTCTCTCAGATAACTATAGTTCTACAATAGGCTAGCTCTATCAGACAGCTAGCTCTATGGCTACAGCCTGGTTCTCCGCGCGGTAACCGTGGCGACAGACCTGATACGGAAGCTGCAGTGTTCGTGCAGCATCTCCGGCACCGTCCACTCGTAGCTGTTCGGGTAACCCGTCGCTCCGTTGCCAAGGTGATTGTCGCGCGTGTGTTCTGTCTCTCGGCAGTCCGGCGGCGGCAGGCCGTGCGACGCAAACTCCGTCCACACTCCCACCGTGCCGTTAGGGTCGTTAGCCGGCCAGCGGAAATTCTGGAGAGAGAAAAACGACAGTAGATATCAGAACGACAAGCAACGTCTCTGCCGCGAATAAGAGTAACCTCTTAAGTACTAAGACAGTCTCGGCTGTCAGCAAGTTATTAGTGTTATTAGTGTTATTAGTATACGTGCTTCAACTAGTCAAAAAACAACTTCAGTAAAATAGACAAAAACATTAAAGGGTCAGTAAGAGCGATGAAAAAATGTCCACGATACTCTGACATGCAAGTTTTTTTTTTATGTGTAGACCGATTAGTGTTTATCTCATATATCATTAATTCAGTGCAGGAGAAAACTGTTACAAACTTAGCATACCAATTACTTCCACAACAAGCAAGCGCATTTCAACAATGCTAATTGGGTGTAAAAACTCATTATGCAACTAACGAACCACTTGCTGTGTGAAAATGTAGACTTGCTACAGCAACTGATCACACGACGACTAACAACCGGTCACTCGACGTATCGATGGAAGCGAGAGAAGACCGCGTCGCGGGACACTGACCTCGCAGCCTTCCTGATTGTTGGGAATGATCCCGTGCTTTCCGTGCATCTCGATCTGGAGCACGTCGAGGGGGATGGCGCATGCCCAGCGAGGTTTCACGTTCTCGCTCTCCGCCTGGTAGTACGGACACCTGCTGGCGTTGTTCGTCATCACCACTATGTCCTACGCGAAGCAAACAATATGTCAGACGTGAGATGCGGCGTCAAACGCACTGAATTGTTCGCTTTGAGAAACGTTGCATGTACATTACGTATAGCGTCATTAGAATTCTGTCGCCGATTAAAACCCGATATTAACGTCGTTTCAAATTTCTGTGAATCGAAATACATATGTTTGCATACTCTCCACCAGGTAGGGTGCCAGTATGGGTAGTAGTCCCTCTCTTCGGCGCACTCGTAACCTCTCCTGGTGCCCCCTGGATTCTGTCTGGTTGCTTGAGCGCTATTCTTTTTTAATTTCTGCAACACACAGTCATGCAGTTTAGTAGAAGTTGTGTATTTTGGGGGTGGGCAAAAAACAAAACTCGTATTGTGATAATTATAACGTACAGTTTAACATGGGAGTAAGGATTATCAGGGGTGAACGATGATCGAATCCTGTCATTAGTCACCCCTGGGAATATAAATATCGCTGATCAAAACATGCCAACAACTGTGTTTCATCAGTAACTGCTCGTGGTTACCACAGCCGTGAAATTTCCAAAGTAAACACGCCACAGACACAAGCTCGCTTCTAGGTGTGGACGGCTTAGCATACACTACACACAGGTACACACAGGTATTTACATTTATGGCTGTACAGTAAAACACACAGATTCCTGGCATGTACATAGTGGATTGTGCACACACACGCACACGCACGCACGCACGCACGCACACACACGCACGCACGCACGCACACACACGGACTATAACACGGATGATTCCTCGCACGTGCGGGTTGTACGGACGAGTAACCGTAGAGCTCGCACCGCGGACGACCAGTACCTGGTCAGCAGTGTAGAGGCGGCGGTTGCGTTTGCGCATCTTGCAGGTGAGGAACTGGTCGTAGCTCTCGTGCATGCCGTAGCGAAAGTCGCGATTACAATCATAGTCACTGCACTGCGTCGGATTCTCCGGGATCGTACTAAAACAAGAGAACATCATTCATGAGCCCCGACCTGTTGGACGGACGAACGCTTACGACAGTATATGTCATCGCAACCCTGCCGTGTGTCTAAGTGTAATTTAGCTCTATCAGTATATCCCTTTTGCTGCCACTACTGGTAGCTATTGTAGCCGTAGCGAAGGTGATACATGGGGCAGAGCTAGGTGTAAAATAGCTTGCTCATCCACTCAACGCCTCAACATTATCAGGGGCTAATAATGACAAATAAAATGATGAAATAATTTGTCATTCTTCACCCCTGACATAACCTAACCTCAAAAGTTAACCTGAACCAGGAAACTACTACTTCACCAGCCTAGCGGCTACCACACGTATTTCCTGGATGCGCGATAAACTACATGCAGGGCTGTAGGTATGGAATCCAGGATCAGAGGCAGGATGTACGATGACTGTCGGATGTTATAACACGTCACAAGGGGTGAGACAGCAGGATAAGCTCAAATAGAATTCCTGAAATAGACTTTCGCAATGCACAACGATGATGACACAGTAACAGCGGAACACATATTAATCGATATCAAAGCGAACTCAAACTCTTGACTTGGTTATTCATTCAAGTATGAAACAAAATGTGACAATCAGCATTAGCAACAGTTAAGTATAGAGCTAACCTAACTGTTAAGTATAGAGCTAACCTAACTGTAGCTAGCAACATTAGACACAGCGTGCAGATAGTCAAGCAAGTTCACAGCCAGTCAAAATTGGTACATACTTTGTAGTAGTTCCGTCTCTAAGGAAGTCATGGCACATGTACTGTATCACTAACTCGCAGTTGTTATGTGGATCACTGCAAGAATGCTGATTGGTCCTAAAAATAAAGAGAGTTCAATATCAATGATTTTACCATAATTTTATATAAACGTGAGCATACGGTACATTGCTATCAACAAAACCTAACAATGCGCTTGTATTATATGTCCACGTTTCTTACCTAGCTGTGATAACATGTGCTACAATCTACTATAACACTGACTGAAGAATGCTCATGAGTCTACGTACCATTCAAGATGTAGTTTAGATCCGGCATAGTAATACACGCTGCCTACATTGTAGCCACCTCGGTCGTTGTTCTGAGAATCATACAGCCTGAGAAATGAGAGCAGTGCGAGTCAAATTAATACTTAAAGTGATTACGTCACGAATTTGTAGCACCAGCAAGTAGTATATTTGTGTGTTATTTGTACAAATAAAATGTATGAAAATACAATTAGTGTTTCTGTTTACTTTTCATGCTTATATACCTTCTTTATATGCCCTAATTTGCGCGTGAAAAAACCGAGAGACGCCAGTATCTGAACAGTACTGGGGAATAGTGTTAGACAACCAGACAACAGAAATAACCAAATTCGTCTAGATTTTTGGCAAATTTAACCAACGTAAAAACATTTTTATCAGTGAGAGTGTGAGGATATATTTAGTAACGTTAGTTCTTACTTTTAATGTAAAAAAATCGCAATTTTTTTTTACAAATTTTACCATGTAGAAAATTCGTGACGTAGTCAATTTAATAATTTCCACACATGGTTTTGATTTTGTCACTTACATGGATTTCATCAAGGAGTTCTAGCAGCGCATGAAACAGGAGACAGTGTCCGAGAATGATGTGACGAACAATAATAAGCAATATCACGTCGACGTAAAATTTAACGTTAGCTTTCCAGTATATCAAATTTTTGTGCCAACCTTATACTGATATATTAACCAAATTATAAACCTTCATTCATCCCTTATATTATTATTATTATTAATATTATTCGGATTGCTCTTACCGATTTGCATTAGCTCTATTTCTGGATGCCTCATCCAGTCTATTGTTACTACCTCTGTGAAAAAAACCACAAGATAACATTACAACATCAGGACAATCGTGATACTGCAAATCATCACAATACTAAACGTGTACCATAAATAACGTAGTGTCTGGATCGATGTATTTCACCAACAAGGACCAAGGCGTGGTCGATCAAACCTACTTCAGCAACACGGCTTGTACAGGATAAGGTTAGGATTGGGGTTAGCTTAGGATTATGATGATGTATATTGTATATATGTACAGTGTATATAATTGCGTCGTAAAATAATCTTAAAGGAATCGTTTACTCTAGGTTCTAGGGTTATTTTCAGTTAATTAGGTTAAAATTACGCTAGCATAAAAAGTTTTCATGGTTCAATCACCATTAGAAATATTATAAAAAATGTTTTAAAACGTAACGACTACAGTTTGATTACAACAACGGTGGCGCCCTCAAAGCACAATGATCTGATAAGTTGGCGCAAAACCACTTTTCAGCCAAGGTACAGACCGAGGGTGTTTTCTATTTATTAATTTAAAGGCAAAAGGATGTAATATCTTATAAACGACAAATAGTGTTCAGTTATATTATGGATAAATTTGTCCTAAATGAACATCGTTCGGTAAATAGCAATTTAGGTATGAATATAGATGCACCTTTGTGATTAGCCCTCGTCTGTAACGTGCAAAATAAATGCAAATACGGCAACTTTTTCAGGTGGCCAGCACGGTCGCGGGTTTCATGACGCCGTTCAAATTTCGGTAGCGTTGATGTGTAATTAATTATAACAATTAAATTAGGTATCTGGTAACAAATACGTGTGGTATAGACGATTTGTTATACAGTAGTAGCACGTTGTATGCAGTAAAAATCCTAGAGTCTACTATCCCTTTAAAGTAAAGTAAAAGTAAGCCCGCTGGGTATTAATGGGATTTATCAGTATTGATATCCCGAACCGTTGGCTAGAGAATCAAATGAGATGGCGGAGTAGGCCTACTCACTCTGCACAACAACAACAATAACAACAACACTACGCCTACGGCACACTCTCGCATACATCAGCAATTTATGCGTAAATGAAACTACGTGACGTCTTTTTGGCCCATGTAGCCTAGTACTAGTAGTGGGTGCAAATCCACTTTAGGCACCGTAGGTAATCAACGAAGTGATGCAGCAGATTCTGTGTATCATCAACTGATGCACAGACTTTCTCTATATCAAGGAATGATGCAAAAACCCTAACCCTAACCCTAACCAGTAACCCAAACCCTGTCCAGTAACCCTAACCCTAACCTTAACACACTTCGTGATACCTAAGATTATACTTTATGACTTAGGGTTAGGGTTAGGGTTTTTGCATCATTCCTTAATGATATACGGAAAGTCTGTGCATCAGTTGATGATACACAGAAATCTGTGCATCACTTCGTAATACCTAAGGTGCCTAAAGTGGATTTGCGCCCTAGTAGTGTAGGCCTACAGCAAAATATTGTATCAGAGAGACTTGGCCTGCAGCCAGCGTAACATATTAATCTAATAATAGATTAGATGTATGAATACAATATAGGAAATTGTCACCGCAACCCGATCCTGTACTGTAATTTGTACTTTGTAGTACTACTAGTAGTAGTACATACTACTAGTCGAGAGTCTAGTCTCTAGACTTTGTTCGCAATTTGCATGCAATGACATACCTAGGGTTGTGAAAATAGACATCAGCAGCAACAACAGCTACAATGCAGTGAAAGATAGCGTCTGTAAAAAGCCTCCTCATTCTCACACGAGTTACACATCAAATCTACATGAACACGGAACTATGTATGGCTATTTCAGGTCAACGTTAGTGATGTCGTTGAGCTGTATGAGTCACATATTATAATCAGGTGCACCCAGGTGTACACGCCCGTACGTGTTATCAACAATACGACTACAGCGCCATCTCGTGGGAATATTGTTTAAAAACAGTACAAGCGAATTAATTTCGGGACATACCGACGAAGGAACAATATCGATAATTAATTTATTAGGGTAAATCAATAAGAGAGAGAAAGAAAGAAAGAAAGAGCAAGAGACCGAAAGGGAGAAAGGGGGAGAGAGGGAGAGGAAGGAGAGAGAGAGAGAGAGAGAAGAGAGAGAAGGGGAGAGGAGAGAGCAGAGAGAGAGAGAGAGAGAGAGAGAGAGAGAGAGAGAAAGAGACCACAAGCAAGAGAAACAGAGAGGGGCAAGCAGGCAGACATCAACCGGACACAGATAGCCCCCCCCCTCCCTATAGAAAGGCAGACACACGAACGGACGACCTGATAGGAAGAGAAGGAGAGAGAAGGGGAGAGGTTGAGACAGAGAAAGATAGCGAATAGATAGATAGAATAGAAGGGCGAGACTTACAAGGAGCGCAAGAGAGCGAGATGAGAGAGGAGAGAGAGAGAGAAGAGAGAGAGAGAGAGAGAGAGAGAAAGAGAGAGAGAGCGCGCGAGAGAGAGAAGAACGAGGGAGGGCGTGGGTTATCTTGGTTGGCAACGGCGACAAGCGACGCGAGCGCCGTTCCCATGCCGACACATATGGTCACTATATACAAAGATGTAGGATCTCTCTCGCTACGTCATTGATTCAATTAACAAATATTCTCCCTATTCTATATCTTTGCATTGACTAATGTGGCCAGATCAATTTACCTGTGGGAGGGCAAGGTGCTTGGATCCATGCCGTGATGGTATGGGTAGATCCCTTACTCCTGTGTGGTGGTCCGGGTGGCGAAATTTTTTTTCCCACTTGAGTTCCGGGCCCACCATAGATAGTGTTTTGTAATATATGGTTCGCATATATATGGTTGGATTATAGTTACAGTCAGTGTTAGGGTTCGGGTTAGGGTTAGGTTTAGGGTTCGGTTTAGGTATAGGTGGTATTCATTTTACATTGTTGCTTCGAGGAAGTCGAGTCAATGGAGTGCGCTGATTGGCTTTGGTCCGGAACTCAAGTGGGGAAAAAAAATTCGCGTCCGGGTGGTGGTGTTGGTGGAAAGACGCTGTGGGGAGCAACGGCTTATATACACGGTTACAATCATAGTCTTCAGCACTTAGGGTGGGGCTTGAGCAGGGTGATAACTTTCCCCCGGAGCCTTAGATAGTGATCTCTAACTCTACCACCTTGTTATGTGGCACACATAACGGATTTAAATCCCATGATAACACAGGGATGCATGAGTGAGAGAGAGAAAGAGAGGAAGGACGGGAGGGGTGAAGTAGCAGTTTTGCCCACTACAGGCTAGGGCGCTCTCCTAATTATAAACACAGGTTTACTGATAGCAATTAATTACAAAAATCTATGCTGAGATACCCCCTAACCATATTAAATGCATATTCATCACAAAATATAACTCATCTGGTAAGATATTACGCATGCGTCAACACACTAACGTAGCCAGATATGTATTGGCTGGTATATGCAGTGGTCACATTACATGTAAGGTCTTCTCCCTATTTATTATGGGATGTCTAATGATAGAATTTTGTCATATAAATCCATGCTAGGATGACTCCTCTTCATTTTAATTGCATAATAATTGCAAAATATAATTATTCTCGGGAGATATTGCGCATGCGCGAGCACCGTTTCAGTAGTGTAATACCGACTAAAGAAAACTGCATAATATAGCTTGCTGTGGGAGAGAGGGGTAAGAGACTGAAGAAAAGCGGCAGGGAAGATAGCTGAGGGGCGGTAGAAGAAGAATTAGGCTGAGCAAGGGACAGGGCAGACAATGGGAAATACAGTAGGGGGTGAAGTAGCAGTTTTGCAATCTACAGGCTAGGGCGCTCTCCTAATTATAAACACAGGTTTACTGATATCAATTAATTACAAAAATCTATGCTGAAATACCCCTGAACCATATTAAATGCATATTCATCACAAAATATAACTCCTCTGGTAAGATATTGCGCATGCGTCAACACACTAACGTAGCCAGATATGTATTGGCTGGTATATGCAGTGGTCACATTACATGTAAGGTCTTCTCCCTATTGATTATGGGATGTCTACTGATAGAATGTTATTATATAAATCCATGCTAGGATAACTCCTCTTCATTTTAAATGCATAATCCTTGCAAAATATTATTCTTCTCGGGAGATATTGCGCATGCGCGAGCACCGTTTCAGGCGTGTAGTACCGACTAAACAAAACTGCATAATATAGCGTGCTGTGGGAGCGAGGGGTAAGAGACTGAGGAAAAGCGGCAGGAAAGATAGCTGAGGGGCGGTAGCACAAGAATTAGGCTGAGCAAGGGACAGGGGAGACAATGGTAAATACGGGAGGGGGTGAAGTAGCAGTTTTGTCCCCTACAGGCTAGGGCGCTCTCCTAGCTTTAAACACAGATTTACTGATATCAATTAATTACAAAAATCTATGCTGAGATACCCCCTAACCATATTAAATGCATATTCATCACAAAATATAACTCCTCTGGTAAGATATTGCGCATGCGTCAACACACTAACGTATCCAGATATGTATTGGCTGGTATATGCAGTGGTCACATTACATGTAAGATCTTCTCCCTATTTATTATGGGATGTCTACTGATAGAATGTTATTATATAAATCCATGCTAGAATAACTCCTCTTCATTTTATATGCATAATCCTTGCAAAATATGATTCTTCTCGGGAGATATTGCGCATGCGCGAGCACCGTTTCAGGCGTGTAGTACCGACTGAAGAAAACTGCATAATATAGCTTGCTGTGGGAGAGAGGGGTAAGAGACTGAGGAAAATCGGCAGGGAAGATAGCTGAGGGACGGTAGAAAAAGAATTAGGCTGAGCAAGGGACAGGGGAGACAATGGTAAATACGGGAGGGGGTGAAGTAGCAGTTTTGCCCCCTACAGGCTAGGGCGCTCTCCTAATTATAAACACAGGTTTACTGATAACAATTAATTACAAAAATCTATGCTGAGATACCCCCTAACCATATTAAATGCATATTCATCACAAAATATAACTCCTCTGGTAAGATATTACGTATGCGTCAACACACTAACGTAGCCATGTATGTATTGGCTGGTATATGCAATGGTCACCTTACATGCAAGGTCTTCTCCCTATTTATTATGGGATGTCTACTGATAGAATTTTGTCATATAAATCCATGCTAGGATGACTCCTCTTCATTTTAAATGCATAATCATTGCAAAATATGATTCTTCTCGGGAGATATTGCGCATGCGCGAGCACCGTTTCAGGCGTGTAGTACCGACTAAAGAAAACTGCATAATATAATATAGCTTGATGTACACTAACGTAGCCAAATTGTGTACTTACTGGTATATGCAGCGGGTCCCTTAGCTTATTCTAGCATAGATTTATCTGATAATACTTCATCAGTCGACCTCACTTAAGAAATAGGAAGAGGACTTTGCATGTACCTTCCCCTCTTTACCGGGACGCCGTGAAAAATCCCGTTTAAGTGGTGAATACATAGAAAAGTGGGCAAGTATTGTTTATCAAAGACATAATAGGAGAATAAAGACCTACGCGTCTACCCGAGGCCCGATAAAGCGGGGGCGTTGTTCCTAGAATCGGCACACGCACGTCCGCGCACTTTGTACGTATTTCTGCTATTGTGTGTTTAATTGTTGCGTTAATTATTTGCAGTGTGTTGCGTGTGCGTATAATGCACATGTAATTGTGCTGCAGGTATTATACGCTACCGCTTGGCCATTCTACGGATCAATTGTACGATGTGGGGGCGTGGGCATAAGTAGCTGCTCTCGGGCAACGTAAACATTAGTAATGCATTAGTCACCACGGCAAACGTATTGACTAACACCTTGTCATAGCATGCCATTCTCCGAGCCGAAAACTTTATACGCCCTGCTATATAAATTCTTCTTCTATATAACGGCAGGCTTTCGCGTACGCCGACGGGTTTTAGTAACGATTTCGGCCGCTAGATGGCGCGCGGCGTCTGATCTTTTTCTGACGGTTGTTCGTTCAGCGGAACCTGTTGCCGCTAAGCGCTAGTTATCGTCTGCGTGTAGCAGCAGCTGGTGCGAGAGCGAGAGCGACCACTACGGACTTCGCGCCGATACGAGCGTGTGCGTTCTCTCTGCTGTCAAGTCATTGCGGTGTATATACCTAACGAACTAACTCTCCAGCGGTCTCGCTCACTGCGGATCCGTCTTCGTATTTACGTGTGTAGTTTTATGCCGAGATAACTTCGTGTCTGTGTGTGTATATAATATATATATATATATATATATATATCTGTGTTGCGGTCGGTGAGAAAAGTAGGCATACTACGCGTATAACTTATACGCTCGCGGTGATACGTGACACGGACTCAAGAGGTTTCAGAGATTTCGTATGTGTATAACTATAATCTGTGACTAGACACGCCCCTGTGGCAAGCGATACCGTGGGAGCGTACCCGAGCAAGTAAAAGGTATATTGTGATTATTGCCACCACTATAACTATCAGGTAAGCCATTGATATGATTACTTGATTGATTATTACATAGTATAATTAACATAAGTACTAGCATATATATATATCGAAGAATGAAACTATACGCACGCACGCACGCACGCACGCACGCACGCACGCACGTACGCTCGCACACACGCACACACACACACACACACACACACACACACACACAACAACAGACATACATACACACAGAGGGCAAGACAAGTCGCACACACACGACATAACAATATTCATTTTCGATTTCTAGGGAACAACTCACGTACGTGTAAGACAAACCATGGCATGTGTTTGCGTTCATCTCTAATTGCTATGACCTTCACAGCAGCGAAGGTCAGCTCTATATATATAACAGCGCCAAGAGTTAGTTTGCACTAATTAAGTCTCAGACTGAATGACGACGACTATAGACTGTCGTATTTTCGTTGGGTGAGCGCA